AAAAGCGCCTACCTTCCCTGGTCCAAACAAATCCAGAGCATTCAGGAGCAGAATCTAAAGTTAGAAGGAGGACATACTGGCTGCTGCATTGTTGTCAGAGAAGCCAGCACTTCAACATGTTTCCTTAATGATCAGAGAGTAAGATACCTTTATCATCTCACTCTCTACACAGCTCACTGAACAGAAAAGCAAAATGTAAAACAAAAACGTACTTTTTTCAAGTCAAAACAAAGTGCATCACAAGTCCAAAAGAAGAAACACCGAAGAGCCACGAGGAAACAGCACAGAGCTAGAGAACATAGAGACTGAAAACAAGCAGCAATCAAACACAGGTGAGAACAATGAGGGAAACCACAAAGGGAGGAAGTAAGACTAGATGTGATATACAGGGGCAAGAACTTCAAAATAAAACAGGAAACACTCAAAACTGAACCCAGGAATATCAACAGGAAACAGAAACACAGGGAAACTCATGACAAGGACTTCTCTTTGTGTTGCTGTGGTGATGAATTGAGTATCGATATTGTTTGACTTTTATTGGAATCGTATTGAAGTTGAAGAATCTGGTTCTGTGGCCACGCTGCTGGAGAACGAGGCCACCTTGAGTTTGTGCGCCGACACAAGAGGTCCAGTGTGTCTGTGAACTGCTCAGCCAACCGTCAGAGAAACTTCATAATCATAATTATATTCTTTTGTTTTAATGGAGGGCTGCAGATTAAACACACTCTCACAGCTCCCTGGGAAGATTCAGATGAAGGAGCTATAATCACAGCAAACAACCCACACACACACAACCACAGCTGGCAGACGAGCTCTAATTTTAGCTTTTAATTAAATTCTCCGCCTCTTTAAATCATGCAGGGGTTGAGATTGAACACAATGCAGCGCCGTGCTAACAGCGCGGGAAACAAAGTGCCGCTGCTGCTCGGCGCTCTGACAGATAACGGATCAGAAAATCCCTCCGCTTCCCGCCACATGAGTGATTTTCTCAATTAGCACAGCTGAAGTGTGCAGCAAGTGTGTGTGTGTGTGTGTGTGTGTGTGTGTGTGTGTGTGTGTGTGTGTGTGTGCGTGTGTGTGTGTGTGTGAACAGCAGGTCTGTGTGCATAATGAGTGAGTTTTTAACTGCAGGGATCACGTGTGTGTGCATGTGTTCATTCTGAATGTAAAGTCTGAGCCTGAACATGAATATATATATACATAATTATTGGTTCCCCTAAAAGACCTCCACCTGATGACCTGAGGGTCCGGGTCTGATTGTAGACCGCATGCAGGTCAGAACTGACTCAGGATCAGAACCATTGAGAGCTTGGTGGACAAATTATAGGAATTTAAAGGTGATTCTGTTTCGTACGGGGAGCCAGTGGAGTCTTTGAGGACAGGAGTGATATGTTCAAATTCTCTTGTACATGTCAGGACTCTGGCTCCTGATTTTAATTAAGTTGAAGTGTCCCAACAGACTCGCCACTCTATTTAGTTTCTTTCTACTCCATACAGGAATTTAAAGGGGACATATTATAAAAAATCTTCTTCTACAGTGTTTCTGAACATATATCTGTTTAACCTGAGAGTCTACTGACCCACAACATGTGAAATAAACCATCCAGTCCTTTGTTTGTGGTCTGCATAAGTCTTACAACACAGAGAAAAATGCTCCTTGTGATGTCACAGTGGGATTCTGGTAAAAAAAAAAATCAAGCCCCCCCCTCCCCTGATATCTCCACCTATAGACTCCACCCCCAGACTAGAACAAAAGTTTTGCACAGGTCCTCCATTTTCATTCTCTCTACAGAGGAGTGATGTCTACGGGGAAAACTCAGGGGGCGGGGTCATTACATTTAAAGAGACACACACACCAAAATGGAGCGTTCTGAGAGAGCTGGTTTATACAGGGTCACAAACCTCCTCTGGTGCTTGATTCATGTTATATTTTGACCAAAGCACAGAACAGATGTTTCATTTAGACCACAGGGGACTGTTTGAAAAGGTGGAGGAGGGGACTGTTTGAAAAGGTGGAGGAGGGGCTGTTTGAAAAGGTGGAGGAGGAGGACTGTTTGAAAAGGTGGAGGAGGACTGTTTGAAAAGGTGGAGGAGGACTGTTTGAAAAGGTGGAGGAGGACTGTTTGAAAAGGTGGAGGAGGACTGTTTGAAAAGGTGGAGGAGGACTGTTTGAAAAGGTGGAGGAGGGGACTGTTTGAAAAGGTGGAGGAGGACTGTTTGAAAAGGTGGAGGAGGACTGTTTGAAAAGGTGGAGGAGGGGACTGTTTGAAAAGGTGGAGGAGGACTGTTTGAAAAGGTGAAGGAGGGGACTGTTTGAAAAGGTGGAGGAGGGGACTGTTTGAAAAGGTGAAGGAGGGGACTGTTTGAAAAGGTGGAGGAGGACTGTTTGAAAAGGTGGAGGAGGACTGTTTGAAAAGGTGGAGGAGGACTGTTTGAAAAGGTGGAGGAGGACTGTTTGAAAAGGTGGAGGAGAGGACTGTTTGAAAAGGTGGAGGAGAGGACTGTTTGAAAAGGTGGAGGAGGACTGTTTGAAAAGGTGGAGGAGAGGACTGTTTGAAAAGGTGGAGGAGGACTGTTTGAAAAGGTGGAGGAGGGGACTGTTTGAAAAGGTGGAGGAGGGACTGTTTGAAAAGGTGGAGGAGGACTGTTTGAAAAGGTGGAGGAGGACTGTTTGAAAAGGTGGAGGAGGGGGATAATATGTCCCCTTTAAATATTGAAATGTTTTATTCAAGGATGCTTGAAGCCGAGGAGAGGTTAACAATATAAAGCGATGAATGTTGTGGCGGTAGCACAGGGAAGAATAAGACCCTTTAATGAGAATCTAAGACTACTTTCACCTCCTGGACACCAGTAAGATATCCTTTATTAACTCTGCCAGGGGATTTTCAATTTTACACTCTGTTATTGAGACATGCTTCACACACACAAGATCAAACAGGACATGCACTAATGGAGAGCTGTCGGGGGGGGGGGGGCAGTTAAAGTTAAGCTGTTTGGGGGGTTCAGTGCTTTGCTCAATGGCACCTCTGCGGTGCTCAGGAAGTGAACTGGCACCTCTCCAACTTCCAGATTTGTGAGCGCACATCAGACTGAATGTCAGTGATGATCAGTGATGTGAAGGATCACTGCTGGGACATTCACGTCATACTCTCCTTCTTGTTTTGGTTGGAGAACATTTAGTTCTTCTGATGTGTGTTATATTTATCTCACAGAGTAAGGAGTTTCCCTGAGGGCGTTGTGTGAATTATACTGCTTCAGGAACTTCTCTGTCACCGATAAATAAACCTTTAAGAGCAGATCATTGAATCCTCCCTGATATTTTCCCAGACCCGCTGAGGGTTCAGTGTGATCTAATGCTGTTTGTGTTTCTGTCGGAGCGTCTGCACTGTGTTGACTTTGACTGTAAGAGAAGAAAATATCCCATTTGTCTTTCCCCTGGAGAACGTCGGGGGGAAACTGCCGCTGCGTTGCCATGCACTTAAAGATTAACGTTACATTTCATCAGATATAAGAAGGGGAGAATGTGAGGAAACACAAACACACACAAGATGTTTGCAGTGATTTAATAAATCTATAATCTGGTTTGTTCTGGTTTAGCTTTTACTGTAGTGTAATACCACTCGGGCTGCAGCCTTAGAGGGACATGTGCTTTTTGTACTGCAGAGAGTTTAAAAACATCCATTCTGCTCTCATTTATGATCGCTGGAATACAAGTTACAGGTGAAGATGGTTAGCTTAGCATAAGGCATACATCACCAATTCTTCCTGCATTCACTAACAAACCTCTGCAGATGATCCAAAACGCAGCAGCACGACTCGTCCTCCCCACATCACATGTCTCTCCTCTGTTCATCTCCCTCCACTGACGCTCAGTTTCTGATCACATCAAATTTAAAACTCAAAAACGTCTCCTCCTAACTTTAACTCTGTCATCCAGGTCTACATCCCCCCCCCACTACTCTCTGCCAATGAAAGGCGTCTGATCCAACCTTCACAACAGGGTCCTAAGTCTCTGACTAGACTCTTCTCCTCTGTCGCCCCCTGGTGGTGGAATGAACTTCCAAAGTGATGATGATGATATTGAGGGTGTTTTGATGCAGAGAACTCTCAAGCTGTCGATGTTGTAGTTTGCCTCTGGTCACTTCCTGTCAGCACCTGTGGTCACTTCCTGTCAGCACCTGTGTGTCCGATCGCTTCCTGACGTTGTCTCCTCCACTCTAGATCCTTGTTTGAGTTCTTACTCTCTGATGTTTGGTGCTTTGGATAAAAGCATCCGATAAGTGAATTGTAGAAAAATAACTGGTTGGGGCTCAGTGGCAGAGTCGGACATCTCTAAATCGGAAGGTCAGGGGTTCGATCCCCAGCTCCTGCAGCCACATGACCGATGTGTCCTTAGGCAAGACGCTTAACCCCAAGTTGCCCCCCCTGCTTTGTCTGCAGTGTGTGACTGTGTATGAATGGATGAGTTAATACTCAGCAGCCTCTACCATCAGGGTGTAAAAGTGTCCAACTTTTACTTCCTAAGATCACACTGAGTTTACTTCAACCTCCTCTGTTAAACACAGAACGTTAGAAAATGTATTTCCTGTCTTGCATCCATCCATTAACTATCCACATGTTAACAGATGGATGACGGATCAGTCAGCGCGCCTGCAGAACAATAGACAAAATGCACGATCTGTGCATCATCATCCACGTAGCGAGCAACAGAGAGGAAAATATCTGAGCTAAGGTGGCGTTAATGTTACCATGTAGAGGGAAAAAGGGAAAGGGAGTCAGAGTAAGAGAAGTTGTTGTATTTGTTTTTACTGGGCAGGCAGAAGACTTTACAACATACGTGTGAAAGTTCACAGATTTGTTGACTCAGCGAGGAAACTGAACGCAGGCCGACGTACACTGACCCTTCTCTGTCTCCTGTGCAGCTTCGTTATTTTACACATTTCTTTGTCTTTTTAAGGCAGATTAAACATGAAAAACTGTTAGTGTGTTAGTGTGTGTAAACGCTTCTCTCACAGCTCTCCGTTAGCGCACGCCTGCATAGACGGCGCCCTGGCCGGTCTGAAGCCGCTGTACTGTCCGTCCGGGCTCGGGTACTCCTCCCTGATCCTCCACGCGCAGCAGCGTGGGATGATAGGGTGGGTGTCTGCGGGCGGGACCCCCAACCTCCAGCTGATGTACTGTCTGTAGGCGCAGTGACGCAGGGAGGCGGTCTGAGCCGGACCGGGGGGCGGAGTCAGAGGGTCCCTGTACAGGAGGACGGCCTCCAGCAGGGGGCGACGCAGCACGAGCTGCTCGAACAGAGGAGACGAAGTGATGCAGGCGCCGTCGCTCCTCCTGCAGCACAGCTCCTCGTGCGGGAGCGAGGACGGCGAGCAGCGGTCACACCGACACCAGGAGGGGCGTCGAGGCCCCGCGTTCATGACGGGTTTGTTTTCTAGAGGAGGCGGAGCTTCACGATCTGTCTGCAGCAGAGGGAGGACGGCCCTCAGGTGTCCCGTGTCCTCCTGTCAGGATGACAATAAAGTACCAACTAATTTACCAGGAAGCTGTTTTTACAGCTCACAAACACAACTGAGCCGAGAGGAACATTAAGAAGAGCAGCCGATAAAGACAGAGGTTTTAAATATGTTCATTTTAATAAGAGGGTGTGTATGTGACAGCCTCAAGTGGACACTCGAGGAACTGCAGTTTTATTTTGCACTTCCTCATTGACTCATTTTCAACACAGGAAGTTGCCGCTGGGCTTTACCTTTCGTGGCTGAACAGACGAGGCTTTGATGTCTTGTAAACTTTTCTTCTGAGATCTCTTCACCAGTCGAATGTTGTTCTCATCGACGTAGGAGACGCAGAGGACGCACTGCAACACACACACACACACACACCGAGAGGGTCATGATGATCACACACACACACACACACACACACACACACACACACACATCGAGAGGGTCATAATGATCACACACACACACACCGAGAGGGTCATGATGATCACACACACACACACACACACACACACACACACACATCGAGAGGGTCATAATGATCACACACACACACACACCGAGAGGGTCATGATGATCACACACACACAGAGAGGGTCATAATGATCACACACACACACACACACACACGAGAGGGTCATGATGATCACACACACACAGAGAGGGTCATAATGATCACACACACACACACACACAGAGAGGGTCATAATGATCACACACACACACACACACACATCGAGAGGGTCATAATGATCACACACACACATACACATCGAGAGGGTCATAATGATCACACACACACACACACACACACATCGAGAGGGTCATAATGATCACACACACACACACACACACATCGAGAGGGTCATAATGATCACACACACACACACACACACACACACCGAGAGGGTCATAATGATCACACACACACACACCGAGAGGGTCATAATGATCACACACACACACAGAGAGGGTCATAATGATCACACACACACACAGAGAGGGTCATAATGATCACACACACAGAGAGGGTCATAATGATCACACACACACACACAGAGAGGGTCATAATGATCACACACACACACAGAGAGGGTCATAATGATCACACACACACACACAGAGAGGGTCATAATGATCACACACACACACAGAGAGGGTCATAATGATCACACACACACACAGAGAGGGTCATAATGATCACACACACACACACAGAGAGGGTCATAATGATCACACACACACACAGAGAGGGTCATAATGATCACACACACACACACAGAGAGGGTCATAATGATCACACACACACACAGAGAGGGTCATAATGATCACACACACACACACACACACACACACAGAGAGGGTCATAATGATCACACACACACACAGAGAGGGTCATAATGATCACACACACACACACAGAGAGGGTCATAATGATCACACACACACACAGAGAGGGTCATAATGATCACACACACACACACACACACACACACACAGAGAGGGTCATAATGATCACACACACACACAGAGAGGGTCATAATGATCACACACACACACACAGAGAGGGTCATAATGATCACACACACACACAGAGAGGGTCATAATGATCACACACACACACACACACACCACACACAGAGAGGTCATAATGATCACACACACACACAGAGAGGGTCATAATGATCACACACACACACACAGAGAGGGTCATAATGATCACACACACACACAGAGAGGGTCATAATGATCACACACACACACACACACACACACAGAGAGGGTCATAATGATCACACACACACACACACACACACACACACACAGACAGAGAGGGTCATAATGATCACACACACACGGCTGGTTAGGAGGAAAACATAAAACTGCAACACAACACACGGTGCTGCAGTCTGTTTTCTTTCAGAGTCATGATGTTTAAATCTTCTATCTATACGCTCAGGGTCATGGGGGGGCTGAAGCCGATCCCAGCTGTCATTGGTCGAGAGGCGGGGTTACACCCTGGACTGTTCACCAGCCAATCACTGCAGAACAAACCCAATCTTTACCTTCTGATTGTCCTTCACCGACTCCACCTTCTTCTCCGAGTAGTTTTGTCCGACCTCTGCAGAGTAACAGCTCGTTCCAATCAGCCAATCGATCATTATGGTCGTCTGGAGACACAGAAATAATACCAGTTACATTTATATACCAGTTAATAATACCAGTTACATTTATATACCAGTTAATAATACCAGTTACATTTATATACCAGTTAATAATACCAGTTACATTTATATACCAGTTAATAATACCAGTTACATTTACATACCAGTTAATAATACCAGTTACATTTATATACCAGTTAATAATACCAGTTACATTTACATACCAGTTAATAATACCAGTTACATTTATATACCAGTTAATAATACCAGTTACATTTACATACCAGTTAATAATACCAGTTACATTTACATACCAGTTAACAATACCAGTTACATTTAAACATCAACGCACCAAGTCTGAGCACATCATAAAGAAGAGAAACAGTTTAGATATTTGTCACATGAACACAAAATGTTTGTTAGAGATCAAAAAGCATAAAGAGATGAAATATGATCCTTAAAACACTAAATCTGTTAGAACTGAGAGGAAAGGCGCCAGATATGAGAGCAGTTATCAGGTCAACAGGTGTTGCAGTGATGGAAGCGGTCAAGAGAAGTGGTTCAGATAGAAGTGATTGTACCCGACCTAAAAAGCCTCTGCATGTTTCTAATAAGCTCCACGAGCAGAAACGTGCTCAAACTAGGATCAATATTGGAGATGCTTTTGAAAAATGGAGAGAGGTTAGAACACAGAAAGGTTTACAGACCCATGCAGAGCTGGATAAACACTGAAGCTTCAGAGTCCACCACATGGTGACCTGAGTGAGCATCCACTCTATAGAGAGGAGGGGGAGGGGGGGGAGACAGCTCTCTATGATGTTTAGAATTTAGACTGCAGTACTCATTTTAAACACTAGGGGTCAGAGTTACATACTGCTCCTTTAATCACTGCACCTAATGACAAAGAATGATTAAATAAAGGATGTTGGTCACAGGCCATGTTGTATGGAGTGGTATCGTCTGAGCTGTGATTGGTTTGTCAGAGCTCCTCCTCCTCTCACACTGAGCTCACAGCGTTCAGCACTCATTGATGATATGGAGGTCGTTCTCTCACCAGAGCGTAGTACGACAGCGTTGATCCGATGTAGATGATGAGCTGGACGAAGCTGAACTTTCCCGCCTGCAGAACAGAACAAACTCTCATTCATTGGTTCTTTATTTTAACCCTTTAACGCCTCAGTGGAGTGTCAGGGTTTCCTTCACTTGTCGTACCAGCTGAGAGAAGAACAAATCATCTGACATGTTTAGAATCAGTCACAGTTTGAGGCTACAGCGACTCTTTTTATTAAACTTCTGTTTTTAATCGTTAGCTCTGGGGGTGAGCACGTTTTTACACATTTAACAGGAAAACCTCTTCCTTCCTTTTTATCAGATTTAAACTCTGTTTTGTGTGGATGCTTTGACCTTTGACCCCTGACACCTCACACAGTTTGTGTGGTTATCTAAGAGTTGAGGGCACACACACACACACACACACACACACACACACACACACAATTTCTCTTCTCCAAATTGATTGTAAAACAAGTTTTATTCATTATTCTTCCTTTCTAGAGGTTAACAACTCAGCTACTCTGATGTGAGTCATCCTTTAGCATTAGCATGCTAATGATCCACAGAGGCTTAAATCTTGCTCCGCCCACCAGGAAGTTTAGAGCTGAAGAAGCCTCTTGGAGGAGGAGAGGGTGAAACATGTTTAAGATCTTCAGCCGATCCAGCTGCCTTCTGATCAAGCTTTGAGTACCATGAGCTGGACGACTGAGAAGCTGCACGTCTTACAGATCGTTGTTTTTAAAGGACTGAAATCTGTGCAGAAAACACAGAACAGTGAGTAAAGAGAAAAGAGAAAACCCGACCCACCTGTCCGAACACCATGACATCAAACCTGATCCCAAAAGCTTTGTAGAGCGTTCGCTCCTCCACGCCGTTCACCGTGTTGTACTTTGCGTACCTGATCAGAAGACATGATCAACATTTAAAGAGCCTACTTCATCTCGATGTCCAGCCTGATTAAAGACATGAAAACTGGTCTTTATTTACAGATCAGGACCGTGTTCAGGTCTTTGACTTCAGGTAAAGTTTCTTCTTCTTCTTCTCCGTAAATAATCTTCACTACCAGGAAAAGTCACTTTTTTTCTTCTGATGTTTTTAATTCTGCAGTTTGATGTGTCTGATGTTTTTAATTCTGCAGCTTCATGTGTCTGATGTTTTAATTCTGCAGTTTCATGTGTCTGATGTTTTTAATTCTGCAGCTTCATGTGTCTGATGTTTTAATTCTGCAGTTTCATGTGTCTGATGTTTTTAATTCTGCAGTTTCATGTGTCTGATGTTTTAATTCTGCAGCTTCATGTGTCTGATGTTTTTAATTCTGCAGCTTCATGTGTCTGATGTTTTTAATTCTGCAGTTTCATGTGTCTGATGTTTTTAATTCTGCAGTTTCATGTGTCTGATGTTTTTAATTCTGCAGTTTCATGTGTCTGATGTTTTTAATTCTGCAGCTTCATGTGTCTGATGTTTTTAATTCTGCAGCTTCATGTGTCTGATGTTTTTAATTCTGCAGTTTCATGTGTCTGATGTTTTTAATTCTGCAGCTTCATGTGTCTGATGTTTTTAATTCTGCAGCTTCATGTGTCTGATGTTTTTAATTCTGCAGTTTCATGTGTCTGATGTTTTTAATTCTGCAGTTTCATGTGTCTGATGTTTTTAATTCTGCAGTTTCATGTGTCTGATGTTTTAATTCTGCAGCTTCATGTGTCTGATGTTTTTAATTCTGCAGCTTCATGTGTCTGATGTTTTTAATTCTGCAGTTTCATGTGTCTGATGTTTTTAATTCTGCAGTTTCATGTGTCTGATGTTTTTAGTTCTGCAGTTTCATGTGTCTGATGTTTTTAATTCTGCAGCTTCATGTGTCTGATGTTTTTAATTCTGCAGTTTCATGTGTCTGATGTTTTCAGTTCTGCAGTTTGATGTGTCTGATGTTTTTAATTCTGCAGCTTCATGTGTCTGATGTTTTTAATTCTGCAGTTTCATGTGTCTGATGTTTTTAGTTCTGCAGTTTGATGTGTCTGATGTTTTTAATTCTGCAGCTTCATGTGTCTGATGTTTTTAGTTCTGCAGTTTGATGTGTCTGATGTTTTTAATTCTGCAGCTTCATGTGTCTGATGTTTTTAATTCTGCAGTTTCATGTGTCTGATGTTTAGTTCTGCAGTTTCATGTGTCTGATGTTTTTAATTCTGCAGTTTGATGTGTCTGATGTTTTTAATTCTGCAGCTTCATGTGTCTGATGTTTTTAATTCTGCAGTTTGATGTGTCTGATGTTTTCAGTTCTGCAGCTTCATGTGTCTGATGTTTCTAGTTCTGCAGTTTCATGTGTCTGATGTTTAGTTCTGCAGTTTCATGTGTCTGATGTTTGAAACATTTGAAGCGACTCACCTGAAGTTGAGTCCGGGGTAAAGCGTCCTGTTGCTCTCCTTCTCGTCCAGACGTCTGAAGGTGTATCGGGGCAGGCAGCTCTGCATCAGACGGTCCAGGTTACAGTCCCACTCTATCATGATGCCAATGACGCCCCCCTGTGGTCAACAGAGGAGAAGCATTATTCACCACAAAAACCTGAAAAAGGAGTCAGTATTTATACACTTTGTTTCTCTCAGCTGACACTGATACAGAAACTAGTTTTATATAGATGTGTTTTTTCAAAACGAGATGTTACAGCTTCAAAATGTTCTTAATGTTGCAACAGATTCTAATTACTATGAACCAATAATTACAAAACTGCACATTAGTTGTTGAGGCACTGAGTACCATACTAAAATGGTAGTATTTCAGCTGTGAGGAGCGGGTTTACTGAGGAACGTCTAAAAAGGGAGTTCATAAAATAAAGAAAAAGTAAAAACTTCAAACTGTTAAACTCCACCAGAATAAAGTCTCATGTTTGTGAATTTTTTCATGATAACAATTCTCAAAATACTCAAAAACTTGAGTAGAAAAATGTTCACAGTGAAGAAATGTTAAATAATGAGCCTGAAAATCAGATTCTTCATCCTGACTTTATGGACACACAGTTAATCATAATCATCATCGTGAGGATCTCAGCATCTCTCCCCTCCTCTTCTCCCTAAATGTGTGTGTACCTAAATATATTTTCAAAAACACTGTGGATATTTCATAATATGTCCCCTTTAAAAACTTCGGTTACGCTGATTCGCAGATTTCCGTGCTACCAGTCTTCCATATTCCAAAACCCAGCTCCGAGACCTCCCCTCTGCAACGCTGCCTCTGAATCTGAACCTCTTAACACTGGAGAAATTTTAAACCCAGACACCTGAACCCTGCTCTCACACCTCAGACCTCCCAGCCAGTATCCAAAACAACAGACTTATAAATGATCAATGCTTAACCTCACCGGTTCTGATTCTGAATCATCTTAAGACAAACACAGAATTCTTCTTTTTATAGAAACTAAAAGCGGACGTTTCTTTTTCTATCAAAACAATCTGAAGAAAGTTCTCCGTACAAACACTTCCTCTTCAGCCGTTTCATTTCAGCTTTCCTCGCTCTCTTCCTCTGGATTAAAATCTGCTGACTGAAAACTGAAAAAGAGAAAGTGGATGTGAAGAGTCGTGGACCCATCTCTTATTTTCAGATTTTCTAAAGGAAACATGAAGACATGCACGAGGATGTTTGTTATCTCTTTACCAAGGTCACTTTGATGAAATGTTTCTGTTTGATCATTCCTGGGTTTTCTCCACTACGGTCATTTCATCCATCAAACCATCCATTCATTCTTCAACTTATCTGAGGATGTTCCCTCTCTTACAGAGTTTAGGAGTTTGATTTCTAGCCACTTTGTTTTGAATTGTACATGTTTTTAATTTGAATGTAATCCATTTGTTTGTTGTTGTTTTTGGTGTTTTTTTTGTGCTTGTAATCTCGACGGCACTGGACATGAGAAACCTTTCGTGTCCTTTCAAGAATAAATAAAGGTTTGAAATGAAATGAGAAAGGTTGTGTCGCCGTGGCAACAGTAAGCCAACCCAGACGTCCCTGTCCCCAGCAACATTTTCCAGCTCATCCTTTAGGATTCTGAGACGTTCCTGGGTCAGACAGGATCTATAATCCCTCAAGTGAACTCCCGGGGTCTCCTCCCAGTTAGGCATGCCCAGAAAACCTCCAAAGGGAGGAGTCCAGGAGGATCCAAACCAGATGCCCAAACCCCCTCAACTAGCTCCTTTCGATGTGAAGGAGCAGCGATTCTACTCCGAGCTCCTCCTGAATGTCTAAGCTCCTCCCCGTCTCTCTGAGGCCGAGTCCAGACACCCTCAGGAGGAAACTCTTTCAGCTGCTTGTATCCACCATCTTATTCTTTCAGTCACTACTCAAACCTCATGACCACAGGTGAGGGTTGGAACAAAGGTCGACCGGTAAATCGAGAGTGTTGCCTTCAGGGCCCAGCTCGCTCTTCACCCCAACGGTCCGGTACAACACCGACCTTACTGCTGACGCTGAACTAATCTGTCTGTCAATCTCAAGGTCCATCCTACCCTCACTCGTGAACAAGACCCTGAGATACTTAAACACCTTCAAAGACTCACTCCAGCATAGAACCACGGCCTCGGACTTGGAGGCGCTGAACCTCAGCCCAGCAGCAAACCGTCCCAATGCCTGCTGGAGGTCCCAGTCTGCAGAAGCCAACAGAACCACATCATCTGCAAAAAGCAGAGATGAGATTTTTTAGGCCCCCAAACTGGAAACCCTCCTCTACCCGGCTGAACCTGAAGCACCCTGTAGGTCCACCACTCGAGGAAGGCCTGGGCTTGCTTATCCTCGACAACACAGAACGGTCATTCCTACTGTCTTAAAATGTTCTCTGTTAAAAATTTAACGCGACTACATAACTAATTTAAATGACAAAAATGTCAGTTGATATTAATTAACTTAATGAAGAAAAAGCCGGTTTGAGAGAAAATTCATTTCACCTTCAAGGCAGAAACATACAAACTGTGAAGTCAAGTGGATTCTTATATCTATGTTATCAAATCACAACAAAAGTTATCTAAAACGTCTTTACAAAAAGAGCTAGACGACAGAAAACGTCCTTTAACAGGCAGAAGCCTCGAGTAGATCCAGACTCATGTTGAACATCTGCCTGATGTGAATCCTCACCTCCACAGACATCTCGGAGAACTTCTCTCCGGCTTCTCTGACCAAGTCTCCCAGTCTGAAGATGGGACACAGCGAGTCGTTTCTTCTGTCGCAGCTCCTCAGGTAGGCGTCATTCATGTTTGGGAGGATGTTCCTCCTGAGACAAACAAACAGACTTTAGGTTAAAAGATGAAGAGTTCCTCTCCCGCTGAAGAGACACCATGAAGAGCTGCAAACCCGGAAAATGTTCAGACTCTGTTTCCAGCAGGATCTGAGGTCCTAAGATGCTTTTAGTGATTGTCATAAAAAGTGCATGTATAGCCTCCTACTAGCGACATAGACTAGCGCTGTGACTCTGCGACTTGAGCTGAAAAGTTGATTTTTTTTTTTTAGCTATGCTGTTCAGTATGAAAGCAATGGTTTTGCTGGTTACGCATTTCTAGCAACACCTCTGTGTGGTCCGGTCCTTACACAAACTTTCAGAGCTGTGATAAAAGTGTTCACAGCTGCGTCTGTTCACTGACTTTTAAATGATAAAGTCTGTTTTTGCAAAACAGCAAACACACAACACACTTAAATATTTGGGATTCCTTGAACAGACCAACAAGAAGAGTCTGCCAAACGTCTCTCTGCAACTGCACAACAAAACAGGAAAATAACTTAGAAAAACAATGATTCAATGTTTTAAAGTTCCTGCCATGTGAAACCTGGCTGCTGGCTCACACACAGCTGTGGCTTCGCTTTATTTAATAAGGAAACTGTTTCAAACCCTCATCTTTAGAAAATCTGATGTTTCAGTCTGTGTATCACGTAATCCTGTATCCTTATCAAACTCTCACCGGATGAACTTGAAGGCAGGAAACCTGATGTTGTTCTTTATGAGCACGGTGAAGTTCTCAGCTGCTGCCAGCAGAGCGGGTCTACATTATAGAAAAATAAAAGATCAAACAGTTAATACAAACAAATCACTGACAGAAACACACTGAAAGCTCCTTTACTTCCAAAACAGACTAAACAGCTGTGCACCCAAAGCTCCTGTGAGGAACGTTTGTTTTTGTTGATTTTGGCACCCCCGGGTGGACAAAAATGTACGTGTTAACTCTTTGCTGAGACTGTTGACAGTTGTGTTCTTTAAAACAGACTGAACCAGCTGGTGGGCCTCTCTGGTAGTGCCTTGGATTGGTTTGCATCCAAACTCTCTAACAGCACCTCTGTCATGTGGTGTCCCACAGGGTTCTGTTCTGGGTCCCATGCTGTTATATATATATATATGCTGACAACTCCATGAGCTTTGTCTGTAATTACTCAAACTGAGACTCACACTTGTTTCTGCTGCTGTTAGATCGCTGCAGGTAAAGTAATTATTTGGGGGCAGGGGTACACAGCTGTGACTCGGTGACGGTGGGTTTTCTTGCCAGAGTCACTCGTGGCACATAGAGAAAAGAAAAGACGCTGAAATGGTCACGGCGCTCTGACTTAGCATTACCCTCGCATCTTAAAGTGTCAGGACAAAACGTCTGAGTCCACACGCCAGTGGTGCAAAGTCTCCTGAGTTGAAGATAATAGTAGAATCATTCATGACCGCTGGAGTGTACAAACATATGAACCTGTTTTCAGATGTGCTTTCAATAGATGCAGACTATAAAACGGAGGAGTTGCTCACAGCAGGGGTTTTACCTGGGAGGTTTTGTCTTTGTTTCGACCGGACACCACGCAGAAACCTCACAGGTTTTCCTCAAAGTGTCAAACTTTACACACGATCCTGTGTGAACCCCTGCAGAGAGAAAACGACCATGTTACAGTCAAACTCTTTAATCTGTCAGAACCTTCACAGAGTCTTAACTCAGGTTTGAGTTCCGCTTTAAAGAGGTGTCACCCAAATCTGTGGTTTAACAGAGAGCTGAGAGGTAAAACTGCAGCACGTTCACGATAAATTCCTCTTCATCGTGTAGAAACAGGTGACGGCTGCTGCTAAGAAGTAAAGTCTCATTGCTAAATTATTCACAATCTGGAAACTGGAAGTCACAAAAAGCAGCTTCTACATGTTTAAATAACTGTTTTAATTTCCACATGAGGTCAAATAAGCCGAACAAGGAGGCCACCGTTTACAGACCTGGACCCTGACCCAGGACCTTTGAAGGTAAAATCTGTTGATCCAATAATAGATTAGAGGACATATATCTAATTTCTGATGATTTTCTGTGTTGTTAGGTGGTTTATTTCTCTTCCGATTTCATAACCGAGACCAAAATGTACTAAATGAGCATCATGCTGTGTTGAAGAAGACCTGAGACTAGAGATTGAGACCATAGACTCATGAGGACAAATATTTGCAATTATAGTGGTGTCACCCACTGCTGGTCATTAGCAAGGCCGCCCATAAGGAGCGGAAAGGGGAGGGGCTAATCCATTCTTAATTTAAGCCATGATAATAATTTGTTAAAGTTTACCATGACTGAGCTGATCCCAGGCTCCTTTCTCACAGTCTTTATCAGAGCGACACAATCTGCCTTTAACAGGAACCTGCAAGAACAATCATCGTGTCTTCAGAAGTTATGTTTCATCCAGTGGAAGACAAAGATTCAACTTAATAATAAATATTAAATATGAAAAGATGAGTCACCTCTGGACATTTTCCCTGCTTCTGATTCTTCGTCACGATGACGTTTGTCACCACAAAAAAAGAGTTTTTTCCCTGAAAATAAAATAAAAACATCTTTAAATTCTCTGCTTTAACAGCAGGACATTAACGACCCCGAGGACCCACCTGTGAGTGTCCGCTGTAGTCCACCACGTCCCACACCACGTCCCCGACCCCGGCCAGGTGAGTCTGAGCCACGCCCTTCACCTTGGTGGTGACGGAGCTCACGACCAGCTCGAACTCCTGATAGTTCCGGTTCCAGAGCATCATGACGCTGCACAGTAAACAAACAAACAAACCCGATGTAAACAACCGAGAGTTCACACCAAACTGTTAACGGGACTTTCTCTACGTCATATCAAACTCGGAACTTGTTGTTTTTGTTGTTTTTACATTATATTAAACCAATAACATGACTTTTTTTACTCACACTTTCATCATAACGGGACTTTGTCTCGGCTACGTTATGTCAACCCGTTAACGGGACTTTCTCTACGTCATATCAATCCCCCCTCAGCCTGCAGAAACGGTAAAAACGGTTGAACTGACCAGATGAGCAGCAGGATGAATCCGTTCAGGCTCCACTTGAGAGAACCGAGCCGGACGCTCTGGATCCGGACCAGCTTGTTGGTTTCATACTGACACAGAAACCGGCAGCACGACATGATGAGCACGGTACCGGAGCTGCAGCCGGTTCTGTCGGTCTGTTTGTTTATGATGTGTTCAAGTTCCTCTGAGAGAGCAGGAGGAATCTGTGACTCATGTCTTCACTCTTCTTCTTCTTCCTGTGTGCTCGGTCACATGTCCTCCTCCTCACTGCTGCAGCTGCTCTCACTGCCTAAATCACCAGCTGCAGAGAACACACACACACACACACACACACACACACACACACACACACACACACACACACACACACACCATTAAGATTACAACTAAAGGAGCAGTTTCAATCAGTCATGCATACTGAGATGCTCTGGATTTTTGACATTCCCGACTTAGTCACATTATTCTGTAGAGACTGGCGTCCCTTTATTTCACAGCATGCTTCACAATAGTTTGATTGACAGACTAAATCTTTAACTCAACATTTAGTGCAGAAAACAATGATGTTATCACATAGTTTGTCCAGCAGAGGGAGCACTAAAATCCTCTCAGCACTGTCTGCAGCACATGTAGCCGAGCATCATGTCCAGTACTTCAGGGGGGGTGGAGCCGGTGACGGTAACAGCGCCTTTCTGAAAAGTTTAAAGATTTTCAAGTGAAGCGCTCGGAGCGGCTGCTTCAAACGCTCTCTCTCCTCATTGAAAAACGAGGTGGACCTGGGGCCCTAACTCAATCAAATCCAGCGTTTGGTAAGCTCCCTTCCCGGCGAGATTCCAGACACCGCCGTATTGAACGAGACTTGACCATAAACTCATCAGGAAAATATTTACAAAGAGAATAAATCAAGAAGAAGTGAAATCTTCCTCCTGTTACAGACAGTTGAGTCGCCTCCTGCTGGTCATTAAGAAGAATGCAGGTTTAAGGCACTTTGTTATAGGCTGCACACACGCTGGAGAAAGATTCTCCTCTGATGCTTTTTCTGAGGTCACACGGTTATTAAACATTTTTTAAAAGATCTACAGAAAAGATCTTAAATTTAATGACTGGATTATATGAAGTTGTCTCGACTAAAGCCGCCTCCTACAGGACGGCTCCAAAAAGAAATGGTTATGCTCCGTCATACACTTCTTGTGTACATTAGCTTTATGTGCATGAGGAAGTTCTGCAGATATTAATCAACATCACTTACCAAAGAGAATTATTTAATCATTTTTCATCCCAGCTTCTCAAACCCCGAGGGATCTGTAGAACATTTCCCTCTTTATTAAATTTATTTTTTATTTAAGTAGGAAAGAAACTCATTGAGATTAAAAATCTCTTTTTCAAAGAGTGTCCTGGAAGAGAGAGGCAGCAAAACACCGAGTTTCACAGGAACAACGAGCAGCCAAACATTCAAATACAAAATACATTAGACATTAAAAGACACAAATTACAAATCCAAACAGCAAAATGTTTGTCAAATATCCTCCACAAATACATCAGGAAGAACATCTACAGCCTCCAAGTCATTTAACTTCCTCTCAAAAGCATCCAGCGAGAGAAGTTCATTAAGTTTCAGCTCTTTTTGTAATCTGTTCCAAGTAAAGGGAGCAGCAAACTTAAATGCCTTTTTCCCCGGTTCAGTTCTGACTTTTGGAACAGACAGAAAGAAAAGATTCTGAGATGGAAGATGAAGTAAGTCCCTGTCCTCTTCTGACTGATGAATATCTGTAAGAATATCTTGAAGATCTTAGAGATGAAACCTGAACTTCTGAGGTCAAACACATCATAGATTAAATAATGATAAATTAATAATTGTTTCCAGCGTTATAAAAGGCACACAGAGATTAAGAACAACATATAAAGTACGCTTGTTGTAGCGAAAGGCGTCCACTAGATGGCGGTGTTGTTTCACCTGCACTCACCTGAAGTCACTGCATCACATCCTGGATTCTCTCTTCATGTGCACAGATATAAATGGATAATAATGGAATGGAACAGATATAACCATCTGAACACGTCTGGTTTGAAAATAATCTGTTTGTTGTCCGTCTCTGAGATAAAGACTGCGTTCTGTTCTCTGCAGGACAAAGACGATCTCTGTGAGGAAACAAAGACGGCGTCTGTGTGCACAGCAGGAATGTAACGAGAACATTCACTGTTTTATTGGAGTTCAGTTTTTTGTAGATTGCATTTTAATATTTTAATTCTTCTACTGTGATACATCTCAGAGGGGAAAATTCAATATTCCTACAATATACATTTCTAAATATTTCTTCATGAACTTTTGCCGTAAAAAAGAAAATACAGAGAACAAGAGTTGTTATAAAGTACTTTTTATTTTTTAATGGATTTCCAGCTCAAAGTTTCACAGTTTGGTGAGATTTATTTTGGTGTTAAAGGAGGCCTCGCTGCAGGGTTAGAGGTTTCATTAACTTGTGTAAAGAGTGTTTACATGAATCAGATATTAAACATTAAAGCTGCACAGTTGAACAGGTTTTTATTTCCTGAAGCTGCTCAAACTCATCTCTGATCTTCATGGAATCACGACGAGATGATTTCTGACGTTGATCTTCACTCGAGCCTCCTCAGCTGAAAAGTTTGCGAAACTTGGGTTTGAGCTGCTCCAGCTGACTGTTGTTCTCCATCTTTTGTGCCAGAGCGTCCACCTTCATGATCAGCTCGTGAGCCTCGTCGAACAGCTGCTCCCCGAACTCCTTCTTCACCCGCTCCCTCCACGCCGTCAGCTGAGGCCGGCTCGCAAACACATCCAGGCCGGCGCCGACGGGCTACAGAGCGCACAAATACACAGCATTAAACCCACAGTATATAAACACCACCACCAGGGGGCTCTCCATCAAAACTATAACAAAGATGACGTCGAGGCTGACGGGGAATCATGGGAGTTCTCTCTGCTACTTCCCCCCTACCCCGATGAAAACAACCTTCAAGTTGACCGTGGTCAGAACGTTTGAAATCACATCATCAGTAAATGATTTGTACCTGCATGATCTCGACTATCGCCACCAGATCAGCCAGAGAGATTTTGTCGCCGAGGATGAACGGCTTGTTCTGCAGGAATTTCTCCTCCAGGACTTTGAGCGACTGGTTCAGATTCTCCACGGCGGCGTCCATCATGTCCTTGGGGACCTCCCCGTCCATCATGATGGGAAACAGGACCTGCTCACAGAGACACGCACACATCAGAGATCTGCTCCTCCAAAACTCCAAAGACTCAATCTTCAGTACAAAGTTATTATAATGGTTGTAGCAGGAGGAGAGCAGAAGTCTTCTACGACTGGACTATCAGCTGATCTCATGATGAAGTCATCGTCATGTTTGTCCTGGAGGTCGGCTGAGGACGCAGCAGGGACTCGGGTCAGAGACTGGACGTACCCGCAGCAGGAACACCTTGGACCCGTGAGCTCTCAGGTTCATGTGCTGCCAGGACAGGTACTCATTAACTCGAGCTCGCTGCTGCAGGTCGGCTGGAAACCAGTGATCAGCCATGGAGTGTTTCTGCACCAGGTACTTCAGGATGGCCGTGCTGCAGGAAACACAGGGACCAAAGAATGACGTTACCATAGAAACGTATTCAACAGAATGAACATGAACTGATGAAGGACGGAGTCAGCAGCTTGTTCCTTCAAAATAAAACACAGACTTATGTAGGGACCTTCAAAATAAAATACAGACTTATGTAGGGACCTTCAAAATAATACACAGACTTATGTAGGCACCTTCAAAATAAAATACAGACTTATGTAGGCACCTTCAAAATAATATACAGACTTATGTAGGGACCTTCAAAATAAAACACAGACTTATGTAGGGATCTTCAAAATAAAACACAGACTTATGTAGGGACCTTCAAAATAAAACACAGTCTTCTGTGAAGCTGCTCCATTGTCCCTTCTGGGCCTCCGTACATGTGTGGTGGTGACTGTGTCTGCAGAGACTCTGTCCTCTGACTGGATTTTCCAGTTCTGCTTTGTGACGGTTGACTCGGGATGTTTCTGGGCGGGGCTGGTGTGTTTCCTCCAGCCAATGACAGCGCAGCAGGTGAGTTTAGGAGTGGATACAATTCAGTGATTGGACGAGATTCAAAGCGGTGAATATGACGGACGTGGACGTAGCAGCAAAGAAGAGAAAATATAATGAGAGTGAGGAGAAACACCGAGTGGATAAAGATCGTTCTAAAACGAGGGTGAACCTTGTGTTGTCTTTAACCTGTGGAGGTGGAGTTGATCTACTTCCTGTTGGACAGGAAGGTGACAAACACCGGCGGTTAGCTTGTGCTAGCGTGCTTTAGCTTGCAGTGTAGCTACAAGCAGTAAACACTAGAGGGGGAGGGGCCCAGTTTGAATGTTGTGTTTACAAACATTTCTACTGACTCCATCTTTAACACAGCTTTCAGGAGTTCTATCAAAATAAAAGCATCACCATGAAAATGACATCATTATTCGTGAGTGGATGTTCTGATGTCGGTGTTTTTACCTCTCGCTCAGAATGAAGCTTCCATCCTTCATGACGGGAACCTTCCTCACACAGCTGATCTTCCCGAACTCCTCGCTGTACTGCTGACCTGGAAAAAAACAAGAACAAGAACCACGGCTCTGTTACAATGAAGACAAAGTGTCTGCTGTGTCGCCTGTTGCCATGGAGATAATAAATAATGTCTACACAGCAAAAAGCTGAGTTTGTTAACTCTCCCCTCCCTTCCTTCTTTTCAGATTTAAACTCTCCTTCCTTTATTTTCTTTCTCCAGCTCGCCTCAGTTAAACTCGATCACGAGGGACGAGGGGAGTGTTTTGTCTGGACGCTTTGACCTTTGACCCCTGACACCTCACACAGTTTGTGTGTGGTTATCTGAGTTAAGGGGACTCTCCCCCCCGCCTCCCTGGACGAGTCTGTCCGCTCTGTGGGTGAAATGTACACACACACACACACACACACACACACACACACACACACACACACACACACACACACACACACACACACACACACACACACACACACACACACACACACACACACACACACACACACACACACACACACTTTATGCAACAAGTTCAAAGTCTCCGATGACAGAAGAACATTTCACAATATTTCTCTCTCTTCTAACTTGAGCAGAAGAGAGAGAACATTTCTCAGATTGTTAGATTTTACAAACATTTTGACAAACGACGACACTCAGTAGCTCGGTGTGTAGGGACTCGGGATGGGCCGGTTCAAGTCCTGGTGTGGACCAAATGTGGAAGATGTTCTGGTAGCTGGAGGCACTTCTCGAGTACTGCCAGGGTGCCCTAGAGCAAGGCTTCAAACACCAGTAGCTCTAGCGCTCCCTGCACAGCAGCCCCACTCTGACATCAGATCCTGTGTGTGTGTGTGTCTCTCAATAACAGTGTAAACTTTCCCCTCAGGGATTAATGAAGTATGATCTCCTGTGTACGGACTGTTCTCACTCCAAGGTTCTTCTTCTGAGTGTTTATCTGATTCACAGCACGCAATGCGAGCGAGCGTCAGCGTGATTCAATCCGTTCCTATTGGAGTGTTGGAGTGGGGAGGGGCTCTACAAGGCGCTGACCCTCTCTCTCCTCCCTCAGCAGAGCTCCTCAACTTGTTATACAAAGTGGAGATAACGATGCTTTTAAAGAGGTCATATTCTGCCCTTTTTGGGGTTCTTATATTTAATCTATGTTCCTACTTTTGTACGTTCACAATAGATAAAGTTTTTAAAAAGTGTCTGTTTTCATGAACTGCTCCTCCTCGCTCCCTCTCCGCTCTGAGTCCGTCAGCTACACTCTGTTGAGCCCACACTGTTAGTCTGCTCTGATTGGTCTGCCGATCCGCTCGGCCTCTCGATCAGATCCCCTCAGAGGAGTCGTTGTAGATTGTGGAGGCAAAGGTTTATCTGAGGTGGTCAAGCAAACGAACTTGATTTCCACCCATGAATTAAAGGTTTTGTTGTGTTTTAAAAAAGCAGTCAGAGTTTCCTCAGTGATGTGTGTGAGTGCTGCTCTGATTCAGACAGTCTGAAGAGTTTCCACTTTAAGAAACAACAGCTGGTAGACTTTAGAAACTGTTTGGTGCATTAGTTATTAAAACACATAAGAGTCAGTCTCATTATCAGGAGGAAAAAGACAGAAGTGCACTTTGAATGTAAAAAAGAAAACGTCTTGACCTCCTTGTTGTTGGGCACAATGTCGAGGGAACGTTTCATTTGGACACATGAAGCAGCTTCTGGGTGATTTACAGCGTGTTCATATTCACAGTCTGTGAGGTTAACAAGCGTGTCCACTTGGTTCTGTCTCATGGAGGGGACTGAAGTGCTGTGCTTTTGTGGAAATGCATCTTCAGAGTCAAACACTTCGGAGAAATGTGCAAAAACAAACTCTGCAAACACTGAACTTGACCGAAAGTTTGAGGACGGAATGTGAGCTCAAGTTTAGACTCAAACGTGCAGAAACTGTTCTGCAGAGTCTCCTCCCTCTCTCTCCCTGTGTGTGTGTGTGTGTGTGTGTGTGTGTGTGTGTGCGCTCACCTGTAGACAGGTCCACGAGCTTGAACTCGAAGGGGATCCCGGCCGCCCTGGCGAACATGAAGACGGATCTACATGGCTGAGAGTGCAGGTCTAGGTAGAGCTCCATGGTGTGTTCCTCCTCTTCTTCTTCTGCTGTTCCCTCGGTGTGTTCTCGTCCTCTCGTGCAGAGCCTGTTATCCTGTTTCCGCGCGGAGCTCCTCCTCCCTTCCTCACAGCCTCCGAGCCTTAAACAGACACGACAGTTCAAAGCTCACACTGTTTGAGGTTCAAAGTGTTCAGGTCGTCCCGGTTGAGCAGTCTGACCTTTGACCTCAACGTGGTTCAACATTTTGTAAACACAGCAGAGATTTTAATCATCTGTGTGCCTCCAGTCTGTAATTCATTTTTTATAATGAGTCAACAGAGCAGACATTCAGTCATCACTCACATTATGAACATCGTTAACCCTTTCATGCATGGATAATAAAATAAAATATATAAACTTTCCTATTTGGTGAAGAATTTCAAATAATATAAATTCTTATTTGATCAACATTACATCAAAGAAAAAACATTTCCCTCCTGGTTTTCTCTGTAAAGCTCCTTTGAGGATCTTCTGGTTTGTGTTGATTTTGGCGCCCCCTGTGGACAAAGCTGTCTTTACATAGGTTGTCCTATACATGTGTGTAAACAGTGTTTTTTACAAAGTATCTCACCTTGCTTTAATTTAAAGGAGCAGTATGTAACTCTGACCCCTAGTGTTTAAAATGGGTACTGCAGTCTAAATTCTAAACATCATAGAGAGCTGTCTCCCCCCCCCCTCCTCTCTAGAGTGGATGCTCACTCAGGTCACCATGTGGTGGACTCTGAAGCTTCAGTGTTTATCCAGCTCTGCATGGGTCTGTAAACCTTTCTGTGTTCTAACCTCTCTCCATTTTTCAAAAGCATCTCCAATATTGATCCTAGTTTGAGCACGTTTCTGCTCGTGGAGCTCAGTAGGCCTGCTGCCAACGCGACCCGGTCCTGAATAAGATGAAGAAAATGTATGCATGGATGGAAATGATTGTGGGAACCGTCTCTCCTTAGATGCACAAAAAGTTGAGAGTTGAGTAGAAATACAAATATCGAAAAGGAAAAACAGATTAAAGAGAAAGCTATTTGATGCATAAAAATAAAAATAACTTTAAACAAATGCAAACGAGTTAAACTAAGATGAGGAATATGTTAGCATGCAGATATTAGCATTTAGCTCAAAGGACTGAAGTGAACATAAACATCTGTTTTATAGATGTTTAAGTCAGTTTGGAAACTTGTGATGAGCATTTGATTCACACTCTTTAATCAGTTTAAACACAATCACAAAATAATCTAACAAAAAAAAACTCCACACCTAATCTGTAAATGTCAAACCATAAACATAATAACACACAAACAGACATGAATAAACTAATGGACACAGAAATCAGAGCAGGAAGGAAATGAACACAACTTTTATTTTGAAAGGCTGTTCTCTGGATTCTGTTCATCGCTCTGCAGAGGTGGAGGTCTCTGGATCCTGATCAGCCCCCCGAGGAGCACGAGGAGTGGACAGATTTTCACAGCTGGAAGTCTTCTGAGCGCAGAGTTTCCTGAGGGAGCAACAAAACAAAACAAAAGAGAAGAGAAGAGGCTGAACTTACTGAGAACAGATCGTTCAGGACATCTGAAGCTGTAGTCACACACAACTCATGAAACTTCCAGGATGTGGACGCATGAACCTCCCTCCCCAGGGTGGATGATGTTAGACGATATTTAAAGTTATTTATTCGTTTTATCTTGAATATTATCGGCTGATGAACGTGTGTATGTACGGTAAGCTCGCTCCCTTGCACGGTGGGAAACCCTGTCGTCCCTTGTTGATGATGTGTGGGTGTTTTTTTAAATCAGGGGAGACAAACAAACAGCTCTTGGATTTCTCTATTTCTATCTGTTAATACAGGGGTCAGAACCAGAACCCACAGACTGCCTCCTGAACCAGAACACGACCAGAACATCCACTCGGGTTCATGACTCTTCATTGGATTTGTTCATGTGTAACTTCTTCTGTAAGATAAATAAATATTAAAAACTTTTTGACACATGAAGACACAGGAGAGCGTTTAGAGCGGGCACACAGGTCACAGACTTGTCTCAGTGTTTTTAGGAGGGGAGAGGGAGTGTGAATATTTTGTTGAGTTCAGATCGGGTTCTGGAGCGTCTGGAGGAAACAGCTGCAGAACGTTCACACCGAGGTTATCAGACGTTATATAACAGACTGATGTGATCCAGAAGGAGGAGAGTGATTCCAGTACCTCGCTGGTTTGAGGTCAGCGGTCCGAGGTTTAGGGGAGCTGTGAAGGGTGGAGCGCTTCCCCTGGGGGGCGGAGCTCTCCAGGATATCCAGCAGCCTCTCCATCTTCCATCGAGTGTACGACGACTTCTCTGAGTCCTGCAGAGAAGGAAACAAAAAAACAAACATCAGAGCAGCTTTCATTGCTTTGGAGCTGACCTCTGATATTTAAATTCTGAATAAATACAAAATAAATCTGTTAAATCTTTCAACTCCTCTGTGAGTCCTTAATGCTCTCTGTGTGTTGTATTTTATAACCTAGCCTATGCTGTCTATGTATCCCTGATTCATGTTAAATATCTGAACTGTGTGATATAGAAATGTTCACGTAGGAAAATATTTTGCTGTTGTTTTGTTTTGATTGTCTTTAGACGCACAGTGTGTAAACTCCTCCACCAGGGGGCTCTTAATCAAAACATTTAAAAAAGTGGAAGCTGGCGGGGACTCATGGGAGTGATTCTCTCTGCTACCCCACGTGTTTATTTGTCCAGTTTGTTCAATAATGTAAAATATAAAACACATCAGAGTCTCCATGAGGTCAGACATGATCCAAACCAGCTCATAAAGTCTCCTTAACTGTGACTTCTGCTCTCATGTTTCATAGTGTAAGAGGGTAAACCGTATCAAGTCTGTGTATGTTGTATGGTCACTGTCTGTGATGTCATCGACCTCACAGCAGAGGCTGCGGCCCTTAAAGCGGGACACGGTTTGTGTCAGTGGGTGCAGAGTCTTGATGGGTCCAGCTGTGTCACCACATTTAGTCCTTCAATGAGGATTTAACTCCAAACATTTGATTTCTAATGCAGATTTTAGGATCGTTTTGACCTTCTGAAGATCTTCAGTAATGGATCCAAACACATCCACTACAGCGGGACGTTTGTCTGAGCTGCAGGGGTTCAAACCATCGTGGATTTAAAGAGACAGACATCATGAAGAACCAGAGGAGGAGTGTTTAAAGTCCTCTGACCTGACTCTGTGATTTGACCTCCAGGATGTGTCGGAGGATGACGGCTGCCTCCTGCTTCACTCCCTCCAGCTGCATCATCCCGCTCCTCTGCGTCTGCAGGCCGGCCTCCAGCTGAACCAGCTCGCCTGCTCTCTGAAGTTTCTCCTCGGACAAAGCAGCCAGCGTTTTTCTAACAACACAAAGCACACGGTGACACGGTGCCAGTTGAGTGTGTGTGGGGGTATAGCTCAGCGGTAGAGCATTTGACTGCAGATCAAGAGGTCTCCGGTTCAAGTCCGGATGCCCCCTGGGCCACATTTATACTGGCTCACTGATGTAGGAATAAATGCAGCTATTTGTCTTAAACATCATTTGACTGTTAAATCAAGAAAACAGCAACCGTAGTCTGAACTTGAGGAGTGGTCAGCGTACGTCAGTTCTTCCACTAAGGCGATCTGATGAAGTAGTCCACGTTGAAGTCTTCCAGCTCCGCCGTCAGCCGCAGGCACGTCTTCCTCAGCTTCTGCACCTCCTGTAGAAAAGAGATGATGAGGTACAGGTGGTCGTGATGACGTTGATAATGATACCGTAAAGCTAAAGGAATAATGTCCCAACGTGACCACGTCCTGTCCTCTAAGTTCATCTTAACGCCATCAGGCCGCCGCCTCAAAGCGCCTCTCAGGAAAAGTAGTCGTCAATAGCAACAGTCCAAAGACATGCTCGTTAGGTTAACTGCTGAATGTGAGTGTGGCTGGTTGTCTGTCTCTATATGTCAGCTCTGTGCTTTTCATCCTCTGGTCCTTGTGTGTGTTACCCAAAGAGACCACAAGAGGGTGTCAGCGTGTCAGCAATCATCTCTGTCAAGTACTGATTGATTTGTTGTCTCTGACTGTTACGTTCCCCAAGATGGCTAGGGGATGAGGGGAGTAACAATAAATTATAACCCAGGGAAAAGAAATATAAGCAAAGTTTAAAATGATTTATTAACAAACTAAAACAAAAAATCCTGGATGTACAGGGTGGACAGGATGGACAGGGTGTACTGGGTGTACTGGGTGGACTGGGTGGACTGGGTGGACAGGGTGGACTGTGGATCTGAGTTTAGCTCTGGAATAAATCAAGTCTGTTTTGCAGTGTTTAATCTTTTTGAAGCAGCGGTGACATTATTCCTGTCAAGGTTCAAGGTCAACGTTATCATCCCAGAGGGCCGATGTGCTTTACAGCCAGCAGTGAATAAAACAAGAAATACACACATCAAGAGGGGGGGGGGGGGGGGATCCACATGATGCTGCTGAGGAGACCAATGGTACCAGGGATAAAATCTTTTTTGAATCTGTTGGTCCTGCGCCTTCAGGCAGAGTTTATCTGCGGCTGTATGAAGGGGGTGAGCGTGTTCTTTTTTGCATCTTTCAGTTGAATCAGTTTGTTGTTAAACTCAATTTGTTAGAAACAAAAAGATGAACCTGAACTCAAAGATATCCTGCAGAGAGCAGGATCAGATAGACCATCAATAGAACGAACAGCAGGGTCTTTAAACTCAAACTGTCACACATGGAAGTGTTGTGATGAGATGTGTGTGTGTGAATGTACATGTGAGGGGGTATAGCTCAGTGGTAGAGCATTTGACTGCAGATCAAGAGGTCTCCGGTTCAAATCCGGATGCCCCCTGAGACTATCTTATGTCACCACGCCCACTGAAGTAAATGTTACACAACAAGCAAGCACCAAAAGAAAGAGAAGTCAAAACATCCAAGATGTGGGACCAACTGACCACACTGCTTTTCATGACACTGTGTCCTCACATCCTTCACTTACACACTTCCTCTCTTATCTCCTCTAAGAGACAAAGACACTGGAGCTGTTTTCACACATGCACTCCTGACAACTTTCAGATCGTTTCAGGAGGAGCGCTCCTGAAATCCTCCTCATCTGGTTGTTCACACATGCACCTCACAGCAGGACACGATCCCTGTGGGACAGGAGGGGGGGCGGGGGTCTCCTGAAATAGGTAAGTCTTTAACTCTAAGGCAGTAAAACTAAACTGCTTAACATACTTTAGGATTTGAGGGGGGTCCAGCCGGTGACCAGGGGGACCACTTGAACTCTGATTGGCCACCCCAAGATCCTTAATGAACCGCTTTAGCTGCTTTCTCTGCACTTTGATGAATCAAGGTTCAATTGTCATGATGAAACAAACCAAACCAGCTGTGACTTCATCATCAGTATGAGGGGGCATAGCTCAGTGGTAGAGCATCTGACTGCAGATCAAGAGGTCTCCAGTTCATATCCAGATGCCCCCTAACTACAATCTATACCACCAGAGTACAGTTCTTACAGTACCTGATCTCTAAACTGTCCAGTAATAATCTCATCTACACATCTGACTGTTTGAAATGTTATGGCAAAGTCTCGTCCTATCAGGCACTCCAAGACACACTATGTGTTTCTCTTTAATGCAGACTGAGAGGAGACACATAGAACAATAAAGCTTCATGTAAACACAGGTCATATTTAGAGGAGAAGACTTCAAAGTTCAGCGTTGCTTTCTTTCCGTCTGTTGAATCGGAGCGTTTTTATCAGTGACACATGTTTCAGTCTTTAGTTTTCTCACTGCTGCAGGTTACAAAACTCACCCGTTTCCTGTGCTCTAACCTGTCACTAAAAGGATCTACTACACTGAAACTACTTTCTGTGTACGGATGCATTGGACCGTGCTCTGCATCCACTGCTCTTTATTCTCACATGTAGCCCCCCCTCTCTCTCCCCCCGCACTGAATCCTTTATCTGTCATGTCCCACTGTTTGCACACACACTAGACTCCCACAGGCTGCGGGGACAGACGAGCTCTGAAAGTGATGGTGTGTGTCATCATCAGTGTGTGGGGGTATAGCTCAGTGGTAGAGCATTTGACTGCAGATCAAGAGGTCTCCGGTTCAAATCCGGATGCCCCCTCAGGTTGTTATCACATGTTTTTTTATTAACGGTCGTCCTCTTACCTTCTTCCGGCCGAGGCCTTTCGGGGCGATCTCTTCAACATGTTTCTGAATCTCATCCCTCTCCTCACAAATGGAGCTCCGTCTTCCCCGCAGGTCCTCAGTCAGCTTCAGCAGGGCCTCTCTCTCCCTCACCAGGGCCTGCTGGTACTCAACCCAACAAAGTTCCTTCTTCAGAACTTTTGACTTCTCCGCCTCAATTTTTTTATCAGTGATATTCTGTAGCCTCTCAACCTTGCTGTGGTTAGAGGACAGAGGACACATTAGTAATACATTTTATCTGCGGAGGTTTCTGATAGCTGCCGGTGTAACGCGGTCCTGCTCCTTACTTCTGTCTCATTAACGCTTCATTCTTCTTCAGGTTGTCCATGGCAGCTTTGTGCTCTTCTCTCTGACAGTTCAGCTGTGCCTTCAGAGACTCCATGTAAGACAGAGTCTGCTCCAGCTGCATCAGCTGCTCCCTCTGCTCCTTTATCTCTGCAGCTGAGGGCAGGAGGAGAGGGAACAAGGAGAGGGAACAAGGAGGTGAGAGGATGCACCTTTTCACCGTCACTCTGTGGTGCTCTGACCGACATTTACATGTATATTTATAACTGCTTGACAATAGATTTTGTTTTATATTAAAAGGCAAACACTCGATTGATAAATAAATAAACAAATTATCTGTGATCAACAAAAGGGTTTAAAATGTTCCGTACTCTTTTTTGATAAAAAATGTATTTTAATGATCAATGATAACAAAACATGGTTTCAATCAGGTATCAAGATAAGTTCTGGTATGGTGGTGTGGAGGTGTCTCACCCTGCTCTGTGATTTCAGCCTTCAGTTTGTCGATGTGTTCCTGTAACTCCTGCACATTGTGGCTGTGCTGCAGCTTCAGGACCTCCCTGTCCTGATGTGCAGCCAGATGCTGAATCTCCAGCTGCTCATCCAGCTCGTCCACCTTCTTCTCTTTTGCAGCCACGAAGCATTTCAGGTAGTTGGTGGCGTCTCTCTTATCTTTCTCTATCGCGTTGTGCTGGGACACGAGATCCTGGTTCTCTTTCTCCAGCTTGTCATGTTTCAGCTGACATCTGCAGGATGAAGAGAGACTGAGGTTATAAAAACACAAAAACATTGACCATGTTCCTGTGAAGAAAGGTGACCAATGTTGATGTGCAGTTTAGACATTTTCTTACACTCTAGTACTTACTTTCTGTCTTAGCTTCTAAGTTTGTTGATTTTAGCAGTCTTCTGTTTTTTTCATGATTTGTTGTCTGTCTTTTAAATTGATTCTGTAATGACTCGATGTCATTGTAAATGAGAGTTGCCCCTCAATGATCTTTAGAGTATAAATACAGGTTGAATAAATAATTATAAACATAAAACATCATGGATTTATTACGATAATAAGACGCATATTGTCTCAAATGCGAAGTTTAACTCGAGCTCAGGAAATTAATATCCCTCCAACTGCTCCTCAAAATATCAGATTTAAATGAAATAAAGTGACTTATATCTGAGTCAGGTCTATTTGATATAGTTATGTTTATGTCCTGTTAGACTAAACTCTTGGACTGTTTGCATTAAGCTGGAGAGGTGCCAGTTCACTTCCTGAACACTGTCGAGGTGTCTTTGAACAAGTTTATTACATTAATGCCAATAAAGCCCCTTAAATGGATATTAAATTGTTTGACACAGCTGGCTGCAGCCATGTGATTAAACTGATGATAGTAACTTCATTATGGACAGTTTTTGCATGACATATATATTTTCTTACTTTTTTTTATTTTTACAAAACAAAAAAACTACAATGAAAAATAGCTAATGATTAACTATAAAGTTAAAATAAAACAGGGTTAAATTATAAATTAAAAACTGTAAATTTGATAAACCAATTAAAAAAACCTAACCCTCTGCAACTGCTCCTCCAAATATCGACTTTGCCTTCCAATATAACGACTTTTCTGTGTCCCTAACATTGAAATGATCCTCTATTGTTATTTATTGATGTTTACTCTATGATTTTCGCTCAAGGTTGATAATCTCTTCTTTGAGTTTAAGACTTTCGAGGCAAATCTCAGATAAACATTTAAGCTATAGTAGAGGAACTTGGGCCCCTAAAAGTTGAGATACCCCTACCCAAGGTAGAACAAAGCACGACCATATTTTTTCATAACTTGAACATGTCTAGTTTATGAAACGGATTGTTGTTTTTTTGGATGTTTTATGCATCTTACCAAAAAACAAAAATAGGTCAAATTAGGGCTTCTCCAAAAGGGACAGCTCTAGCCTTATCACATGTATCTCTGGGAATCAGAATCAGAATTTCACCACATTTGGACAGGATGTTCACAGATAGTTATTAGTTACAATTATGCAAGTTTTTATCAATACCATTTTCAATTTTTGAATTTTTCACACTTAAACACACATGTAGTTTAAGTGGAAATTGAAAATTGAAACAAAAATTCAAAAGGTATGTATATCAAAGTCTGTCATTTTTTAAGTAAGGACACCAAACATTAAAATATCTCATTTGTATCTTCTTTAGACTGTTATCTCAACATAAAAACAAGTTATTTGACTTTCCACTTGACCCTATGCTGTCACCAGCCCCTAACAGGAAACTAGTGCAGCCAGGATTTCAGGGCGACCTGGTACAATGGGGCCCTATGGGTGTGTATGTGGGAGGAGGTGGCCACAAACAATAGATTAAGACTTAACAACAACACACAATATAACTGTATTCTGTAATATATATATAATTAAACATTTTATAGTTATTCCTAATACATTTTGTCTCATATTTTCTATCTTACATATGATTTATATGATGACACTCAGAGTCAACCTGCTGCTTTCAACAATATTGTCACCTATGACATTGTTTCTATTTCATTCTAAAAAATTAAAGCATTTTCTTGCCATCAGTTGTGAAATATTAATGAACTAAAACACAGTATTGATATATATAACCTTGAGTTCTTAGAAATTAAATATACTTCATATAGTCTATTTGTATATTGGCTATACAGCCTGTTGTAGTTTTTTAATGTATTTCAGTCATATAAAGATAGTGTGTAGTCACCATATCTCCTGCTTTTAAGATGAACCCTAGTTACTCCAGAGGATACACTGGAAGAAGGGATAGTTTTTATAATACCCTAAGTGTGAGAAAGTGTTAAAAAAATGTCTTACAGTGTCTTGATTTAGTTGTGATGTCTTTGGTTATGGTGTCTTGATTTGGTTGTGTTGTCTTGATTTGGTTGTGTTGTCTTAATTTGGTTGTGCTGTCTTGATTTGGTTGTGATGTCTTGATTTGGTTGTGTTGTGTTGTCTTTGGTTGTGTTGTCTTTGGTTGTGTTGTCTTGATTTGGTTGTGGTGTCTTGATTTGGTTGTGTTGTCTTGATTTGGTTGTGTTGTCTTTGGTTGTGATGTCTTGATTTGGTTGTGATGTCTGGATTTGGTTGTGTTGTCTTTGGTTGTGTTGTCTTTGGTTGTGGTGTCTTGATTTGGTTGTGATGTCTTGACTTGGTTGTGTTGTCTTTGGTTGTGTTGTCTTTAGCTGTGTTGTCTTTGGTTGTGATGTCTTGATTTGGTTGTGTTGTCTTTGGTTGTGATGTCTTGATTTGGTTGTGATGTCTTGATTTGGTTGTGTTGTCTTTGGTTGTGTTGTCTTTGGTTGTGATGTCTTTGGTTGTGTTGTCTTTGGTTGTGATGTCTTTGGTTGTGTTGTCTTTGGTTGTGTTGTCTTTGGTTGTGATGTCTTGATTTGGTTGTGATGTCTTGATTTGGTTGTGTTGTCTTTGGTTGTGTTGTCTTTGGTTGTGTTGTCTTTGGTTGTGGTGTCTTTGGTTGTGGTGTCTTTGGTTGTGTTGTCTTTGGTTGTGATGTCTTGATTTGGTTGTGATGTCTTGATTTGGTTGTGTTGTCTTTGGTTGTGTTGTCTTTGGTTGTGGTGTCTTGATTTGGTTGTGATGTCTTGATTTGGTTGTGTTGTCTTTGGTTGTGTTGTCTTTAGCTGTGTTGTCTTTGGTTGTGATGTCTTGATTTGGTTGTGTTGTCTTTGGTTGTGATGTCTTGATTTGGTTGTGATGTCCTGATTTGGTTGTGTTGTCTTTGGTTGTGTTGTCTTTAGTTGTGTTGTCTTTGGTTGTGATGTCTTGATTTGGTTGTGTTGTCTTTGGTTGTGATGTCTTGATTTGGTTGTGTTGTCTTTGGTTGTGGTGTCTTGATTTGGTTGTGATGTCTTGATTTGGTTGTGTTGTCTTTGGTTGTGTTGTCTTTGGTTGTGTTGTCTTTAGTTGTGTTGTCTTTGGTTGTGATGTCTTTGGTTGTGTTGTCTTTGGTTGTGTTGTCTTTGGTTGTGATGTCTTGATTTGGTTGTGTTGTCTTTGGTTGTGTTGTCTTTAGTTGTGATGTCTTGATTTGGTTGTGTTGTCTTTGGTTGTGTTGTCTTTAGTTGTGTTGTCTTTGGTTGTGATGTCTTTGGTTGTGTTGTCTTTGGTTGTGTTGTCTTTGGTTGTGATGTCTTGATTTGGTTGTGTTGTCTTTGGTTGTGTTGTCTTTGGTTGTGATGTCTTGATTTGGTTGTGTTGTCTTTGGTTGTGGTGTCTTGATTTGGTTGTGATGTCTTGATTTGGTTGTGTTGTCTTTGGTTGTGTTGTCTTTGGTTGTGTTGTCTTTAGTTGTGTTGTCTTTGGTTGTGATGTCTTTGGTTGTGTTGTCGTTAGCTGTGTTGTCTTTGGTTGTGATGTCTTGATTTGGTTGTGTTGTCTTTGGTTGTGTTGTCTTTAGTTGTGTTGTCTTTGGTTGTGATGTCTTTGGTTGTGTTGTCTTTGGTTGTGTTGTCTTTGGTTGTGATGTCTTGATTTGGTTGTGATGTCTTGATTTGGTTGTGTTGTCTTTGGTTGTGTTGTCTTTGGTTGTGTTGTCTTTGGTTGTGGTGTCTTTGGTTGTGGTGTCGTTGGTTGTGTTGTCTTTGGTTGTGATGTCTTGATTTGGTTGTGATGTCTTGATTTGGTTGTGTTGTCTTTGGTTGTGTTGTCTTTGGTTGTGGTGTCTGATTTGGTTGTGATGTCTTGATTTGTTGTGTTGTCTTTGGTTGTGTTGTCTTTAGCTGTGTTGTCTTTGTTGTGATGTCTTGATTTGGTTGTGTTGTCTTTGGTTGTGATTTGTTGGTTGTGTGTCTTTGGTTGTGTTGTCTTGGTTGTGGTTTGTTGTGTTGTTTGGTTGTGATGTCTTGATTTGGTTGTGTTTTTTGTTGTGATGTCTTGATTGGTTGTGATGTCTTGATTTGGTTGTGTTGTCTTTGGTTGTGATGTCTTGGTTGTGATGTCTTTGGTTGTGTTGTCTTTGGTTGTGTGTTTTGGTTGTGATGTCTTGATTTGGTTGTGATGTCTTGATTTGGTTGTGTTGTCTTGGTTGTGTTGTCTTTGGTTGTGTTGTCTTTGGTTGTGGTGTCTTTGGTTGTGGTGTCTTTGGTTGTGTTGTCTTGATTTGGTTGTGATGTCTTGATTTGGTTGTGTTGTCTTTGGTTGTGTTGTCTTTGGTTGTGGTGTCTTGATTTGGTTGTGATGTCTTGATTTGGTTGTGTTGTCTTTGGTTGTGTTGTTTTAGCTGTGTTGTCTTGGTTGTGAGTCTTGATTTGGTTGTGTTGTCTTGGTTGTGATGTCTTGATTTGGTTGTGATGTCCTGATTTGGTTGTGTTGTCTTTGGTTGTGTTGTCTTTAGTTGTGTTGTCT